AGATCGAATATAATCAAATCTAACGGTAAAAAAAAAAGATGTAATGGTCCAAATTTAAATCCAATGGCTAAAATAATTTAAAAAAATATTTAACTTAAAATTCAACCAAAAACTCTATAAATACCTATGTATTTGTTCAAATATCCACACAAAACTCACTTTTCTCCTACAATTCTTCCAAATTTTTTTTCTACCATTTCTTCTCATTTCCAAAATTTTTAAGATGGCAAAAGAGCATGTTAGAGGTCGTAATTGGACCTTTGACGAAGATATTGCTTTATGTTTGGCATGGATTTCTGTTAGCGAAGATGGTGCCGTCGACACCAATCAAAATAGAAAGGTTTTGTAGGGTAAAATCGTTGATAAATTCCATGAAAACTCCAACGCCGGTCGAAGGGAAGTTGGTGGTGTTTATGATCGGTGGAAGATTATCAACAAAGCGTGCACTTTGTGGAAGGGAAGCTTGGAGAGAGCCATGGTTGACATGCCTAGTAGAAGGGGCACCTTAGAAAGTGTGAGTTTCTTTGTTGATATTTTAGTTGTCATGTACATAATAGTATTTTGCAACTAATTGTTTTTATGTATTTGTTGCATAGGGTGACAAAGCAATGACAATTTACAAGACAAGAACTACACCAAAAAATCAAGCTTTTAAGTTGCATCATGCTTGGAACATCCTTAAGGATTGTCCGAGGTGGGGAACCGATGCGAACTAACAATGTGGAAGATTATTTCATAATGAAACCCCACCTCTAAATGATATATGTTTATACCATCCTTGACCAATCCCAAAACTACTGAGCACCGGTCAACATTATACCGTCAATGACCCATAAGAGTTTCCCTCCAATTAGGAGGCCAATCACAGCGCGACACGTGTCGACATTAGAAGCCAATCATAGCGCGACACGTGTCAACATCATAAGCCAATCATAACGCGACACGCGTCAATGTCAGAATGAAACTAGAAACTCTCTTCTATAAATAAAGATCATTCTCTCACAATATTTCCTAATGTCATTTGTACTAAATCATTCACTAGTACTCACTAAAGGAGAGCTTGAACCTATGTACTTGTGTAAACCCTTCACAATTAATGAAAACTCCTATACTCCGCAGACGTAGCCAATCTGGGTGAACCACGTACATCTTGTGTTTGCTTCCCTGTCCCTATCCATTTACAAACTTATCCACACTAGTGACCAGAGCAATCTAGCGAAAGTCACAAACTTAACACTTTCTGTTGTACCAAAGTCCTCGCTGATTTTGTGCATTTCTTTTGCAAGACCCCCGGGTAGAGATAAGCACAAGGAAGCAAAGAGAAAAAGGAAGTCCCAAGATCCGATACGTGCACAATTTGCTAGCAAAATGGTAAGATTGAACGAAAATCATATCTCTCGGCAAGAAGAATTGGCCCAAATGCTTTTGGCCATGAAGGAAAAAGGGGATAGGGAGCAAGAAAGGTTCGAAGTTAATTTGATGATGGATGATCTCGACAAATACACTCCAGAGAGGAATAAATACTTATATGGTAAGCAAAATGACATTTTACGAAGGAATGCCACAATGAGTATATTTCAAGATGATGATTCATCTCAAGAGTATCACTCAAGTCCATCACCAAGTCAAGATGGTGGATATCATTATTAAGTTTATGTAGTTTATGAGTTTACGATTGTATTAAGTTTATGTGGTTTATTAATTGTCATTTGTATTAAGTTTATGTGGTTTATCATGATTTTCATGTATTGATTTAGTGATTTTTCAAAATTTATCGGAATTTAAATATTTTTAGGTTAAAATGTTCATATAATTAATTTAGGATAGTCTACATAATTTTTTTTTAAAAGTTAATTTAAAAAAAAAAACCTTAATCATTCTTTGATAATCTCGGGCTAAAATTTTAGGCCATAATGGTTGGAGCAGAAAAACTATTTATGGGCTGAAAGCTAAATTTTATGAGCTAAATATTTTTAGATTTTAGGTCATCATTGAAGATGGTTTAACGATCCTGATTTCTCTAGAGTGTGACGAATTTGGAAAAACTTGTCAACCTTTGTTACTACTATATATAAAACGGTATTAATTTTCTAATACAAAACGAACTTAATCGACTTTTTCCGCACGTGCTTTCAAATCAAAGGCGATATGGTGAAGCGTTAAGAAAAGGTATAACCGTATAACACGTCGTCAATCATATGCTTCATTAAGTACAATAATTATATAAATTGAAAATCGGGTTTATTTATGATAAAAAATAAATCAAGTAAAGTCGTATATATTTGGCTGCCATAGTTGTTTGTTGTGTTTGGTGAAAATCAACCTAACTATCCGAACTTTTGGTCAAACTTCGAGCTAAAAATATACCTGGTTACCGTTCGTTTGATTTGAGGAATTTATTTTAGGGTTTTTATTATAAATTATCCTTTATGTGTCGGTAATTCATTTGTGGACCCATGCCGCATTGAATTTTAACATATGAACCGTTCATTTTGTAAGTCTCAATTCATATATCACTTTTACAAAAAGTCAATTTAATCAGAAATCATTTGCTTATTTAATTGATATGATGAACATAGTATTCATCAAATTCTTTGAACTCAATTAGATGCTGTAAATATTTTTCGATTTAACTAATATTTTGCAACGATGATCTCTAAAGTGCAACCTGAAAAATAACGGTTTGAATCGTTGAAATTTGAGTTTTGATGTTTTCTTATAAAAAGTTGAAATTCTAAATATAAAACTATTCGTTTGTGATTTTATTAGTATAGTTAGTGCTAGTAAGTTAAATTAATAGTTGTTAGGGCGAGAGAAAACAGTGAGAATCAACACGCATCAGAGTGGATACGCATGATTGCACTCCTACAATCTAATAAAGTACATAAAAAGAAGTGGCCAAACAACCATGTACCTACCATCTAACCAATGAAAGCACGGCTACTTTTAATTTTTTTTTGACCTCTCCTTACTTCTTATCCTTTGTATTTGCTAATTATTTTATTGCGAATTGGCCTCTGCTAAAAATATTATACTTAGAAATCCAATGAAAATAAGAAAAATTAACGAAAAGTAAAAAAAAAACCTTATCTTTTAATGAAAAGTTTTTTTTAAAGGTATAGTGAATGTACCAGGAAAATGTATAAATATGGTTTTTTGTTAAAAATGAACAGTACCGGGAGTGTTTTGTTAAAACTCTTATGAAAATAAGGCAAGAATATCAGCACACCAAGAAAAGAAATTTGCCCGGATGAATGGACTGCTGTGACGAAATCACAAAAAATAAAATAAAATAAAAAAATTCTGAACCGTCAAATTATTTTTCCCATTTTTGTTTATTTTTATTTTTCTTTTCTGGTCCACGTTGGTCAATTCCACGTTTTCACCTAACTTTATCTCCCTAACCTTGGATGACATTTGAACAGCTGAGTCCTCTCTCTGTCTCTCTCTCTGTCTCTCTCTCGATCAATACGGATGCGGGGAGTCTACCTGCTCGTCTCGACGTCAACTCGTTTCATGCAAAATATGCAACCGCCATTCAAACGATGCACTGGTGACCCAAAAACACACAACGCATCAGACACCGGATATCTCAACCACCCAAAACCCCCTAACTCTCCCAATTTTCCCAAATATAAACACGCAAGATACAACATTCTCACTCTCACTCTCTAACACTCTCTCTCTGATTAAAACTTTTCAAACTGCTGTTTTTGAGCTGAGACACATGGACGTTGGCAATGACAACCAGAATACGCCTCTGCTGGTTTCCAACCACAGCGGCCATGAGGACGGCGGAGAGGAGAAAGTCGGATTTGTTAAGCAGTACGGTATCGAGTCCAAGAAGCTGTGGAAGATTGCCGGCCCTGCAATCTTCACCTCCCTCTGTCAGTACTCCTTGGGTGCCCTCACTCAGACCTTTGCCGGGTTTGTCGGTGACCTCGAGCTAGCCGCCGTCTCCATCGAGAATTCTGTCATCGCCGGACTCGCCTTCGGTGTCATGGTAATGGTCCAAATATCTATCAAGTCATTCTCTTTCTTTTATGATCACTCATCCAATTCAATCCAATGCAATATAATGCACTCAATCTTAGTGCTTACGCGTGCTGCATGATTAGTCGAGATGATACAAATAATTTATTCGACCATTCACTCGTTTATATATGCATGCAGTGAGATTAATGCTGGCATTTTTTTTTTGGACCAAAACGATAGCAATAATTCATTAAATTACTTTTAGCATTAGAATGAGGGGTGAGCGTTGACGCAAGAAAAATGTTATTTCGAGTCGTAGAAATAGCTTCTTTGCAAAACAAAGACGAGTCTGCGTACGATAGATGTTATCTCCTCATATTTTCAAAGCGAAAATCATTGTTAGCTTGGGAGCATTAGAATGTGATTCCCCTTATCATGTATGTTTATTTTCTCTTTATCACACTTATGTTTATTTTTCGCATTAAATTTATCAATTAAAAATAATACAAATAATAACTTTTTTTTCTTTACTTGGAGTGATTTATTTTGGCTTTAGTATTTGTAAGTTTCGTTTGGATGTACTTTTAAAATGACTGAAAGCGCTTTTATTTGGAGTGATTTATTTTGGCATTAGAATGTACTTTTAAAAGAAAACGCTTTTAGAGAAAATGTCTTTTTATTCCAAAAGTACTTTAAGTGTTTTTCCAAAATTTACTTATATTTTTACTAAAGATTGGTTCTAAAAATATTTTCACCAAAAACACTTTCAGTCATTTTAAAAACACATCAAAATAAGCTTGTAATCTAGCTTAGTTAAAGTGTTTGACTATTTGTTCAAAGAAAAGTGTGTGATTAGTTAATGTGTTTAGCTTTATCTCCCTAACTTGGATGACATTTAACAGCTGAGTCATCTCTCTCGGTCTATTGATTGACGTGAACAACTGAATCACTCATCTCTCTATCTCTCTCTCTCTCTCGATCAATACGGCTGCGGGGAGTATACCTGCTCGTCTCGACGTCCACTCGTCTCATGCAAAATATGCAACCACCATTCAAACGATGTACCGGTGACCCAAAAAACGCATCAGAAACCGGATATCTCAACCACCTAAAACCCCCTAACTCTCCCCATTTTCCCAAATATAAACACGCAAGATCTCTCTCTCACTCTCTAACACACACACTCTCTCTCTCTCTCCTCTCTCCTCTCTTCTAATTAAAACTTTTCAAACTGCTGCTTTTGAGCTGAGACACATGGAAATTGGCAATGACCAGAATACGCCTCTCCTGGTTTCCAACCACAGCGGCCATGAGGACGGCGGAGAGGAGAAAGTCGGATTTGTTAAGCAGTACGGTATCGAGTCCAAGAAGCTGTGGAAGATTGCCGGCCCTGCAATCTTCACCTCCCTCTGTCAGTACTCCTTGGGTGCCCTCACCCAGACCTTTGCCGGGTTTGTCGGTGACCTCGAGCTAGCCGCCGTCTCCATCGAGAATTCTGTCATCGCCGGACTCGCTTTCGGTGTCATGGTAATGGTCCAAATATCCATCAAGTCATTCTCTTTCTTTTATGACCACTCATCCAATTCAATCCAATCCAATCCAACATAATCCACTCAATCTTAGTCATCAAAAACAGCTAACGCATGCTGCATGATTAGTCGAGATGATACAAATAATTTATTCGACCAATCACTCGTTTATATATGTATGCAGTGAGAATAATGCTGACATTTTTTTTAGAGAACTTAAACAATCTTGATACTGTTCATGTTAATGAAAATCATATTTTTACAGCAAAAGGTCAATTATGGTACTATTTACTTTACCATTTATTTTGTCCTTATCATTAAAACTAAAAAATTTCAAGCTCTTTTCATTAGTTTTTTTTTAACCAAAACAATAGCAATAATTCATTAAATTACTTTTAGCATTAGAATGAGTGGCGAGCGTTGACGCAACAAAAATGTTACTTCGAGTTGTAGAAACAGCTTCTTTGCAAAGTAAAGACGAGTCTGTGTACGATATATGCTATCTCCTCATCTTCCCAAAGCGAAAAATCTTGTTAGCTTGGGAGCATTAGAATGTGATTCCCCTTATCATGTATGTTTATTTTCTATTTATCGCACTTATGTTTATTTTTTGCATTAAATTTATAACTAAAAATAATACAAATAATAACTTTTTTTTCTTCTATACTTGGAGTGATTTATTTTGGCTTTAGTATTTGTATGACTTGTTTGTATATGCTTTTAAAATGACTGAAAATGTTTTTAAAGAAAATATTTTTGGATTCCAAAAGTACTTTAAGTGATTTTCCAAAATTTACTTGTATTTTTACTAAGAATTAATTTTAAAAATATTTTCACTAAAAACACTTTCAATCATTTTAAAAGCACATGTAAATAAATTAGTAATCGAGCTTGGTTAAAGTGCTTGACTATTTGTCTGTGTTTTGGGGGTTGCAGTTGGGTATGGGTAGTGCATTGGAGACGCTGTGTGGGCAAGCATACGGTGCGGGTCAGATCCGGATGTTAGGGGTGTACATGCAGCGATCGTGGATCATTCTGCTGGTGACAGCTTGCGCTATGGTCCCCATCTATGTGTGGTCCCCACCTATTCTCAAGCTATTTGGAGAGACCACCGAGATTTCTGAGGCCGCCGGTTGGTGATTTTTGCTTTTTTGGTTACGTATTAGTCTTTCTTTCGAACTGAAATTTAAATATTGAGAAATTAAAAAGGATAATGATTAGAAGATTCAAAATTTTAATTAAGTTAATAATTAAATGATGTGATGGTTGATGATTCGATTATTATTTAAATGTTTATTAATATATTTATTTTTTTATTAATAACATATTATTTAATTTACAAATCTAATTTAAATTTTAATCTCCTTAATACTACGTAATTAAAAATTATCATTAGTCACATCAAAAGAAAGCACATGTTTAGCAAAGTTTGGTTAGACTAGATCATTAGAGCAATGTGTCCGCTTTCTTATATCCAAATGTTGAGAAATTAAAAACAATAATGATAGCTTTCAAAATTTTAAATTAAATTTATAAATTAAATAATGTGATTGTTGATGATTCAATTATTACTTAAGTATTAACGTACTTATTTTTTTTATGAGTAACATATTATTTAATTTACAAATTTAATTTAAAATTTTGATCTCTCTAACACTATTTAATTAAAAATTGTCGTGGGTGATATCAAAAGAAGAAACATGTTTAGCAAAGTTTGATTAAACTAGTTCATTAGAGCAACGTGTCCGTCTTTTTATACTCAAATGTGATTTCCTTTTCCGTAAGTTATTATAATTTGAAAAGTATCCTCTAGATTGTTTTTGGTTAACTTCCCACTAATCATTTATGTGTATTTTTTTGGTGGTACAGGAAGGTTTGCACTGTTGATGCTTCCACAGTTGTTCGCCTATGCCCTCAACTTTCCAATTCAAAAATTCTTACAAGCACAGAGAAAAGTTAGTGTGATAGCCTGGATCTCAGGTGCGGTACTTGTAGAACATGCAGTTCTCAGTTGGTTGCTGATGATTAAGCTCGGCTGGGGTCTAACTGGCGCAGCGATCACACTCAACGCTTCGTGGTGGCTCATCATTATTGGCCAGTTGCTCTACATCTTCATCACCAAGTCAGATGGTGCTTGGAGTGGGTTCTCTTGGCTTGCGTTTTCAGACTTGTGGGGATTCATTAAGCTTTCTTTAGCTTCTGCTGTCATGTTGTGGTAAGTAGTCCGGCTATGGAGCGAGCTTACGTTCGGTAATGAGTAACAGATTGTTAATATGTCATTGATAACGAGTCGATATTATGTGAATACATGTTGTTTATGCATGTACGACAATTTTGATGCACGTCCCTTCTTTGATAAAGAATGAACATCCTGCACATAAAATTTTGTCGTACTAAGTTTTTTGTTTTTTTTTTTTGAATAACTGCAGCTTGGAATTCTGGTACTTGATGATTCTACTGGTTATAACTGGCCGTTTGAAGAACCCTTTGATCCCAGTTGATGCCATCTCTATTTGGTAAGGTACTTAAATTATAGAGACCTATGAATTCAAATTTGGACCTCATATTTCTTCTCATTTTGTGCAGCATGAACATAAATGGATGGGATGCAATGATTGCAATAGGGTTTAATGCTGCAATCAGGTAAACTTATTTACTTACGTTCTCATTGTCTGGCCGGTCTTTTTGTGACTTGTTGACTTTGTGGTACAACTAATGATCATCAGGTCATGAATTCGGTTTTCTCTGAATCATGATGTCCCAAATTTTCTGACTATGTGATGTTGCAAAACAAACAGTGTTAGAGTATCAAATGAACTTGGAGCTGGTAATTCCCAGATGGCCAAATTCGCAGTGATAGTAGTTTCGACGACATCCATCGCTATAGGGCTCGTCTGCATGACCGTAGTCCTCACGACGAGAGATTATTTCCCCTACCTTTTCACCAGCAGTGTAGCCGTTGCGAAGGAAACTACTAACCTTGCAATATTGCTTGGATTCACAGTCCTTCTCAATAGCCTTCAACCAGTCTTATCTGGTAATTAAATACAATTAACCACATAATTAACCGAGACTTTCGCGTATACATATATCTATCTATCAGTTAGGTGTTCTTTTTCTGACAATTTGTTATGTTTAATTTGTTTTCGAAGGTGTTGCTGTTGGAGCTGGATGGCAAACTCTTGTTGCATACATCAACATTGGGTGTTACTACATTGTCGGATTGCCGGCCGGAATACTTCTCGGATTCACATTTAAATTTGGAGTCGAGGTGATACAATTAGACGACTTGACTATTTTGGAGTATCAGTAACAATTTCATAACCCTAATCTCTCCCCTAATTCCGTTTTTCAAACTTGTGCTGTTTTGTAGGGTATCTGGGGAGGAATGATTGGTGGCATTGTCTTGCAAACTATGATCTTGATAGTAGTCACTTCCTTAACTAACTGGAAGAAAGAAGTAAGTACTGAGTTCTTACTCTTGATTATAACCCAAAATCGGGTTAATTTGCTTAAGCCGATGTTAATTATGTCACGAAATGCGCAGGCTGATGAAGCGGAGAGCCGTGTAAGGAAGTGGGGAGGAGGAGGAAGAGATGCAGATATGTAACTCGAAGACAAAAGCATCAAAATTAAGGGGTGCATGACATAGTCACACGGAGCTTTTGCAGTAACCATCGGCAATGCAATTTTGCATTGGTTCATTGCGCGCTAGTTATATTTTGATGCTAAAGCTCAGAAGTTGTGGGTAGTTAGTATTGCCAAAACTCAGAAGCAGAGGAAACTAGTGAGGCATTGATTTTGTTTGAAGTATTTGGAGAAATTCTCTATTATCTCTATTATTCTCTACTAATTAATAAAATATTAATTGTCAATCAAAACTCTATGAAATTACTAGTTTAACCATCTAATTAAAACAGAACATGAATAAGAAATATGAGGTAGAAATGTAATTTCACACAACCAAATTTTACTTTTTTTTTCCAAAGCCTCACTTACATGTAATCCTAACATATCTCTAATTAATAAAAATAAAAATAAAAAATAAAAACTTCTCACTCCCCCACATTCTCTATCACTCCCTTCCTCTCTCATTCTATTTCAAAAAAAAAAAAAAAAAAATTTCTCACACATTTTGTGTGTGCCCATATGCTAGTCTCTAATAATTAATGAAACTCTCATTGTCAACCAAAAGTGGGTGAAAAGACAACTTAGTCTTCTATTAAACAACAAAAATGATGGGCAATAATGTAATTTCATAAATCCAAATTTTACTGTTTTTTGTTGAAGCCTCACCTATTGATTTCTTGTTATGAGAGGAATTTCATATTTTTCCACCTAGTTTCACTTTCCTTTTATTTAATTTTATTTTTAGCTCGCACACCGGATTCAAGTTCAAGATTTTTCCTATTGACCTCAGGTCTAGGGCGTGACAAAATGATATCAGAGTATAGGGATTAGACACCCTTGGGAAAGTTGTGTTACCAATTATATGGTCAGTCGAACGAAAAGGGCTAGAGCATTTATGTTTTGTGGTAAAAGTTTTGTCAAGTCTTTTGTTTGGACTTGAATTCATTTGACTGAGAGACTAGTAGGTCTAGTTGACTGAGAGACTAGTAGGTCTAGTTAGGTGGTAGTAATATGGATCGTTAGGTCTTAACGTGTAGTTGGAAGTAAAGTGTAATTGTTTGCTTTATTGTTGTGATACGTTGAAATTTTATTCAGCTTATGAGGTACATATTACTTGTGTTGTGACCACTCAGTACTGATTTGATATTTATGTGCTTTTATAAAAAGTGGATATCAAAAGAAGTTGAATTTAAAAAGGTATTTGGTAAACACTTAAAAACAACTTATTTTCATAATTTTGGGTTAAAAAAAGCCGAAAACATGAAGCAGCAAAAATGAGCTTATTTTCACAGAACAACGTAAGTAGTTTTTTTTTTCAAAGTACAACAATACCAAACCAGTCATCAGTAAGCCACTAGGAATAGCCTAGTGGTGAGGGTGTGGGTAGGGGGTGGGGTAGTTCTAGGTCCCAGGTTCGAAACCTGGTGTGTGTGTGTGTGTTTGTGTTTGTGTTTGTGTGGGTGGTGGAGGGTAACAAAAAAAAAAAAAAAAAAACCAAACCAGTCATCAGTAGAAGTTGAGGACCCGTATTTGAAAAAAAAAAAATTCTTTAATTGGTTAGTGTTTTCTTCACCAGTGTGTCCAACTATACTATAGTTTTCCTATGCCAAGTGATAGACATGGTTTTGGTTTAGAATAAATGTTGAGATGATGGTAAAAGAAAAAGCTGGCAGTATACGTGATATTCTACCTACTAAAGTAGTTGACCCCTAATGCATTCAAATGAGTGAGTGGTTTGGTATGGATATGTTTTGAAAAAAAAAAAATTGTGAGAATAAGTTTATTTTTACTGCTTCACGTTTCAATTTTTTTTTACTTAAAATTGTTAAATAAACTGTTTTTAAGTGTTTACCAAATATCTTTTTTAGCTCAGTTTTTTTTTATATCTACTTTTTATAAAATCATCTCAGTACCAAACTAATAGTAAACTATCTGGTAGCTTGAGTTCGTGCTAATCAAGTTGGAAGCTGAAATGGGTTTGCCACAAGGTGGAATAGGTGTCACACCACTAAACCCAAAGCCATTTGGCTTTACACGTGGCTCTTTGTGGGAAAGATCTTATTCCGTTCTGGTAAGGCCCGTTTGGGATTGAGGTGATTTTAAAAAAAGCCACTGTGAAAAAAAGCTGAGGGTCATTTTTATGTTTGGTAAACTGAAAAAAAAAAAAACTTATTTTGGAAGCTGCTGTGAGAATAAGCTGAAAATCAAAGGAAAAGCTGAAGCTGCTATTTGCTGCTTTGAAAAAAAGCCAGTTTTTTCAAAGCACACGGAGCTACAGTGCTCCTTTAATGAAAAGACACACTATCATCCTGTTTTTTTTTTTTCCAAAAGCACTTTCACAAAAAAGTTTACCAAACACTCTACTGGCTTTATTTCACAGCCGCTTATTCTCACAGCACAGTCGCTTATTCTCACAGCAGTTTTTTTTCAAAGCACATCAATATCAAACCAGCCCTAAGTCTATCCATTCCACTCCCGCATTTCCCCTAGTATAAATAAAGACCAGGGTTTCAACTGCATACTAAACTCAGAAACAAAGACAGAGGTTTCATCGAAATCTATGGCGTCTAAATCATGAAACAATCACGAATACATATCCCCTGTATTTTGTTAGTGGCTATACTATGACTTTCTTAGGGCTGGTTTGGTATTGCTGTGCTTTGAAAAAAAGCTGTTGTGAGAATAAGCGGCTGTGCTGTGAGAATAAGCGGCTATGAAATAAAGCCAGTAGAGTGTTTGGTAAACTTTTTTGTGAAAGTGTTTTTGGAAAAAAAAGCAGGATGATAGTGTGTCTTTTCATTAAAGGAGCATTGTAGCTCCGTGTGCTTTGAAAAAACTGGCTTTTTTTCAAAGCAGCAAATAGCAGCTTCAGCTTTTCCTTTGATTTTCAGCTTATTCTCACAGCAGCTTCCAAAATAAGCCCTTTCTTTTCAGTTTACCAAACACAAAAATGACCCTCAGCTTTTTTTCACAGTGGCTTTTTTTTAAAATCACCTCAATCCCAAACGGGGCCTTAATATGTTGTTAATGTTATGATTGTGATTGATAATTAGGGTTGTATGATGAACTACTTAAATGTCATTCCTACATAATTTTAGATCATGTGATGAGTATATTATATTTCATTCCTACACAACTTCTAGTTGTGTTATGAATCTATTGAACTTTATTCCTACACAATTATTGGTTGTGTGATAAGTTCGATTAATTTCATTCCTACATAGCTTTGGGCTATGTGATGGATTTGACAAAGAACTTCATTCCTACATGACTTACGGTTGTGTGGTGAAACTACTGATCCTCATTCCTATATAGCTTCAGGCTATATGATGAGTAAAACAAAGTCACGAATGTCGTGTGGTGAGAATAAAAGAATTAAATAGTGGAGCTGAGTGATGGGTCACATTTCTGAATGTTGTTATACTAGGAAGCCATTAGGGATACTACTTGAAGTACTATTGTGTGTGTAAGTGGTTTTCGAAAATCATTTTGTTAGTACAGAAGCAAACGATTTCGTTTCAAATGCAAATATTGTGTTTCATTTTAAAAATTTCATTTTCTCGTTTCAAAAAAGAAAAAGGATATGACCTATGATTTTATTCCAAGGTCAAGCTACTTTGTGTTATTACTAGAAAAGAAAATATATGTTTCGGTATATTGCTATTTTCATTATTTAATGAATTTTTTTCGAGCATAAAACTATATGTAAAGGGATTAATTTCTAGAGTTGGAAGGCAAAATACATAGAGAATTGCAATCCACTTGAAACGGAAGGGTAATCTCTATGCAACCACTCTGGTTGGATTTTCTCTTAGTTTTCTTCAACTACTATTGTATATTGAGTAAGGTCTTACAAATTTCGAGAACGAAATTTCTTTTAAGGAGGGTAGATTGCAAATACCTGTATTTAAAAAAATAATTATATATAATTATGTGTTGTATATACTTATTAATTTCAGAAAATTTTGTATTACTTCTTATTTAATCGTTAACTCCTTTATTTCATTTTTCCATACTCTAATTTGCTATTATTCTGAACCAAATAAGTTCAGTACACCATTACTGTAGTATTTGAACTATATATTCATATTATTCATTTTCTTCCCTTTTACATTATTTTATTAAGCTGTTTGTTCTATTCTAATTGGACCAAAACCATAGCCAATTAAAGGGCTTTTACATCATTCCTATTGAAGGATCCGGCCTGAGGGATTAGTTCTCGCAGGGATACCCTGGATTCATCCAAAAAGGGCTTTTACATCATTCCTATCGAAGAATTAGCCGACTTTATATAGCTATAAATAGAAACCCAGGGCTGTAGAGCGGTGCAGTTTGTGTACCGAGTAAGGACCAGAGAAAGTGGTGAGTGAGAGAGAGAGAGAGAGAGAGAGAGAGAGAAGGAGTGATAAACCAGAAACAGGAACTGAGAGAGGGCTGTGGACTGTGGACTGTGGAGTCCATTCGACTCAACCTGTATCTCGTTGTGTATGGGTAAACGATTTCCATACTTCATTTATCCTCTCCATAGTTGTTTCCTTTCTTATTGTTGTCTTGGATTAGCTACTGTTATCCAAAACTAGTTTATATGCAAGCTTCGTATGCAGGTGTGTTTATTTATGCAAAACCAGTTTTATATGAAGAAGCAAAATATGCATATGCGTAAACCCTATTTTGGCACGTAAGAACTGGTATGCTTATTTGGGTATTGTTTCCTATTGGCTATATATATTTTGTTATAAAAGATGATATTCAAAAGGCTTCACATATGATATCAGTTTACCAGTTGTTGGGATACCATCTTTTATGAATTGGTTTGACAAATGGAAATCGGTTGGAGATTTCTATTTTCCCAAAACAACAACCATACTTTTATGCTATTTGAAATGAAGCATTCTATTGCATAATACAAGGAGCTTAATATACGAACTTTTAAATGTCATTCATAATACTAACGGATTAGTGCTTTTACCTAATATATAGCTTGGCTGAAGTATGTTAATTGTACTTATGTATTTTGAACTATACCTTTTCTTATTTTATAAAAGTATTCTAGTTCAAAAGTTCCTTCACTGATGACCATGTTGTTATAAATTAACCAAATGACTTTTGAATTAGTAGTGTGTAATTAGCAAGCTTAAGGATGCTGACTAGGATTAAAGTTCATGTCATGTTTTTTAGTAATTGCTTACACTTGTGGATAGGAGTTGTGCATAGGAGTTGTTGAAGGTAGACTCTTGTAGTAGAGAGTCAG